AGACTGTTTTTAAAAAAATAAGTTTATAAAGAAAATGTGCTTATATAGGAGGTGACTATAAAGAGGTTTGACTGTATTCAAAAAAGTATTATTTTTAGAATTTAAAAATAATTATTATTGACAAAGCTAGTTTTTTAAACATATAGTTTTTAAGTAAAGTAGTTTTAAATGAATAGTTTTTTTTGGTTAGTTTTTTTGCTAAATGCAAAAGTAGCTTTTTTTAGATAAGTAGTTTTTAGATAAGTGGTTTTTTAAATAAGTAATTTTTAGTCAAGATGAAATTAAAACTATTATAACTAGAAATAGTAGAATTCAAATAAGTTAAATATTAAAAGGTATTAAATTAAATATAATTCATAATAGAAGTTATTCAAATTAGAATATAATTAAAGCATATAGTTTGATTTTAATAAAATAAACTTAAATACATAATTTAAAATATCATTTATTTATAATTTACTAGCTAAAAACTATACAATAATGCACAGGAAAAAATATTATCTATATTAAATAAGTAGTAAATATAAAAATAAACTGCCATACATTGTCACATGAATATGATTTCCTTTTGGGAAACCCCTAAAAATGGTATTTGAAAAGAGCCTATTATTGCGATTTACTATGTAAAATAAGCTGATCATATGAATGTCAATCACAGTAAAAAATTTACTCCACTGATCTGCGTGACAAATCGTGTGACTGATATGGATCAACCCAAAACAAAATCAGAACGCGTGTGAAAGAAAAAACTAATAAATTATACAGTATTCAGAGGTTTTTTTTTTTTTTTAAGTGCCATAATCAATGAGCCAAAATGTGTCAGGAATTAAATTTAATTATTTTTATCGATCAATCGAGCCTTTAGTCGATTGGTCGGAATAAATCAGAAACAAATTTTAATTAATAAAAAAGAGTTTCCGAGTTAATTGTATTTAATATTCCAATGAATGATGTAGAGCTACAATATTTAATACGTCATTAATTAACGGAAGACTGTTTAGCCGATCAAAAGTTAATTGATAAGAAATGTGAGGTCCAAACATCCTTTTTTTCACAAAGTTGCTAAAATTTTTCATTGATGTTTATAAAAAATAACCATTCAAACACTTTACCCTTTTACTATTATTGGATCTTCAAAATCATAACCAGCGCTTATACCAAAAATTTCAGAAAGTTGAAATTTCACCATCAATGTGTGAAATTCAATTTTGATTATGTTCTCAAAATTTTTTTCAATATAGAAAAATTAAATTTGTTTTATATTGTAAAAAATTTATCTAACGTTCTCAAATAGGGAACTTGTTTTAATAAATTCATATTCAATCATATTATTGACCTTTATTTAAAATGTTTATGGCAATAGCTAAAATTATATCATAATACTTGTACACTATTTCGATCACTATGAAACGGCATCTAGGTTGGTGCTTGAGAACACCCTAAAATAAATTAAATCGATGACCTGATTTGCTATCATTGAATTACCTCTGAGTGACTAAAATTTACATATCGCATTTTTGCAATTTCAATACATCATTTGTTCACCATATGCTGCGGCAGACTCGTGACTCGCACTGGGATGTCATTGAGAAAGTTAGTTCATATTTACACAATATGAAATGATTAACTGGATGATAAATATTTAGTAAATTGTTTTTTTAAAAAAAAAATTGCTATCGGATAGTAAATACCGTATATTTAAAAAAAATATATTATCGTTATACATTTCGAGGTTGTAATTTCTATCACCCGTCACCCTATATTAATATTTATTTAGATTGAAAAAATCCTAATAACTTTCCGATAGAAATCATCATCTTTTATACATTTGCGTACAGGGTCAAAAAGAAATATGTATAATAATTTACATCGATTTTGTTTCAAGAGATATCGATATCTTCAAAACAATTCTAAAGTATGTTTTATTACGTAAATAAATCCACCAAATATACTTTCATTTTTTGTTATTTTTCAAATTTCATGAATGTGTCAAGCTATCTCTAGCAGCTAAATAATGCCAGCGCTAATGCGTTAGTGATACGTATCACTAATCCAAATCCAATGAAAAAAGATTTCTTTTTTTACAAACATGTATTATGATGTCACCAATGTTACTTGGATGCTCGCTTTAATACTACGTATATAACTGCAGAACTGTTTGAGTATTTATGATATGTACTTTTATGTATAGGTATGTTTCAAATATTTTCATTATTGTAAAATCCCAAAAATGAATTCAATACACTTTTTTTGGTTTTTAATATCGAGCATGCATAACGGTAAATAAATATCGGCTGTAAATAATGGCGCATTAATTGAATTCTTACTGGATACACATAACTGATAATATGTATTACGTTATATTAAGTATGGGTTATTTATACAAATTATTACTTTTTTGGTATTAGGTAAAATTTCTTCTGTGTTTCGTGCAACGCGACATGAAAATTACATTTTTAGTCAACTGAAAATAAATAACTTTTTTGGTTTAATCTTTTTTAATTTCCACCTGCTTTTAGGTTGTTCGTTCATTCAAAGTTCTTGGTATTTATCAAAATAGCTGGTGGAAATGAAAATTTTATTTAATGATCTATATTATCGAATAATTCCGTTCTTAATTGGAGTAGCATTACTTATAGATGTATCATGGGCTGATTTTAATCCTAGTTCTTATACATCAATAGAAGATTGTGTTGGCGCAACTGGTGTTTTTGTTATATCAAAAAATGATCCTGGTTATAATGATGCAAGAGTGGGCGAGCGAGTTAGGTAAATATTTTATTGATTTTTAGCTGAAATTTATTACTATTTGTTTTTTTTTTCTTATTTAAATTAAATTTATCAAAGTTTATCCAGTTTCTCGGTTTTTTTTTTTTTTATATAGTAATGGGGGGTTTCAAAATTAACAAATAAGTGACGCATTTCGAAAATAAATAGGATTTTTTCAATAGCATTTTTACTATGTTGAATTATAAATCGGAAAAATAAAATTTTCAGATATTAACTTTGAAATCCCCTAATGTCAAATTTTTTTCTTACCCCTTTTTTTTAAATATATTTTAATTCAAAGACAAATATCAATATAATTTTAAGTCAAAAATTTGATTATAAACTAAAATTTATTGATTATTTAACTTATTCAATAGATTTCAACAATATCCAAGAATGATAACTTATCCGACTAATACAACTCAAGTTCAACAGTTGGTGCTTTGTTCAACTACATTTAGTATAACACCATCCCCGAGAAATGGTGGTCATAGGTAAGTAATAAAAATAAAAATAAAAATACAAAATATATAAAAAGCATTATTATTAATTATTATTAATAAATAACAATCTATCTACATATTTATATTAAATTAGTAATACTGGATCTTCTTCATTAAACGATTCTCTGGTTATTGATATTAGTAACATAAATTCTGTTGATATTGATACTGTATCTCAAACTGCAATAGTTGGTGGTGGAATTAGACTTGGTCCATTATATATTCAACTTGCTCAAAAGAATTTTACTTTTATCTCAGGAATATGTCCAACAACTGGTTTAACAGGTGTTATAGCTTCTGGAGGTTTTGGTTTACAATCTCGTAAATATGGTATTACTGGTGATTTAGTACTTGAAGCTCAAATTGTTACCGCTAATGGAAGTATTTTAACTGCAAATAGTATTTTAAATGCCGATTTATTTTGGGCTATAAGAGGTGGTGGTGGTGCTTCTTATGGAATTATTACTCAATGGAAATTACAATTAATACCTGCTTGGCAAAATATTTACGTTTTCACCATTGAATACCCTTACGATCCTAATCTTTTTGCTTCTATATTAAAAGCATTCACGAACTTTGGTCATATTGCTCCTAATGAACTTTCAACTACCCTTTATGTAACTAATACAAATTTTAAAATAATTGGTCATTATTTTGGTGATGATGATCAAATTTATGAAAAATTATTTAATGCTAGTTTATTAACTTATAACGGTTCTCAAATTGAAGGTTGTGATCGAGAATCTATTGAGGAGAAACTCTTATTAAAATGTGATCATTTAGGTGCACGTGCTTACTTTTTGGATCCTAATAAAACTTGTACAAGATACGATCTTCTTAATATTGGCACTAGTCCTTACGCATCAAACAATCTTGCTTATATCATTCAAAATATAACTTATCCACCTGCTGCAACTGCTTCTGGTGTCGTAACTCAAGGTGTACTTTCGATATACCCTCCAGGTCCATTACAAGCTAGAGAGAATGTAAAAACCAAATCTATGTATTTTGATGGTCCTTTAAATGATACTGCAATCAATGCTATTATTGGACTTTTAAAACAAATGCCTTCAGGAACATTCGCTGAGTTACTTTCTTATGGTGGATTGCTTTCCACACAATCTTCAAATCTTACTGCATTTTTTCATAGAAATGTTGCTTATCATCTTCTTATACAAGTTCCTTCTACTTCTGATTCTACAACGAATGCATGGATCAATCAATGGGATACCAGTGTTAGGCCATTTTCTAATGGTCAAAGTTATCAGGTAAATTTTTGTTTTTTAAAAAAAAAATTTGGCTTTCTCTCTTCATACTTAAATTATTATTATACGTAATCTTATATATTAATATTACGTTTTTTTTGATATAGGGATACGAAGATCCAGATTTACCAAATTTTGCTCAACAATATTTTGGTAATAATCTTCAAAGATTACAAAACATAAAATCAAAATATGATCCTCAACAATTATTTAGTAGTCAATCAACCTTAAATACAACAAAACAAACTCCATCTCTTTACGGTACATGTCCATTTGTTCATGATGAAATATTACCTGCAAGACGTAGTTCTGCGAATAGAATGTTCAATATAATAATTTTAGATAAGGTTATGATCAGCTTATGGGTTATAGTTTTATTATTAATATGGTAAAAAAAATTTCTACTACGTAGCATTATTAAAATGAACTTTTTGTAATTTATATACGTGTAATAATTCAATTTGTAGTAATTCAATTTTGTTGTAAATGTTAAAAGTATAATAGCATAAAAGCATATCTGAATTTTTTTTTTTTTTTTTTGTTTTTTGAACAAATTTGATGAGGTCTGAATTTTTATTATGAATACGTATGTAACAATATATGTAAATGGGACGGAACTAAAATTGCGACATAATAACTTAAAATCTAATCCACATCCCAAATCAACTTATTGTAAATTCCATTCACAAAACTTGATAAAAATTTTTAAATGAATTATACAAGTTCAAAATTCATTCAAATTTAAAATATTTTCAATAATTAGACTAAATTCTATAAAAATGAATTTAAGCTTTTTTTATAACATGTTCGTGTGAAAATTGAGCTGCAATATTAAGTCGATTTAAAGCTTCAATGTTTTAAGAAGGATAAATTTAATTGATTTTTTCTAGGATACCGGATAATACTAAGTGAGGTACGAGTTGAACTAATAGTAAGTTTTCAGGCAATTTATATCCCAAATTTTGCCCATTTTAAGTCCTTTACATCTGTTTAATTATATAAAATACGTGATTTTTTCAGATTTATATGGAATGTTTACAAAAAATTTGCACATTCTTCCTCGTATTTTAGGTTCATTCAAATTCTGTTTCGGGAACTTTTCAGAATTTCGGTAAACATAGTATATGGATTCTTTTATAATATTAGGTATCGATTTTAACAAATTATGTCTTTTTTAAACACAATTCATTTTTTCAATAAGCTGGTTTAATAGTATTAGATTTACCTAAGAAACCTTTTTAATAATATAACCTCTGAAAATAATTTAAAATTTCTTGTCCGGTTTATGCAACATATTGCCTACCCTATCGCTATGGAGCATATTGATATCGATATGCAGAATCTGTGCCTGGTTTGTGGTCATGTGATAATGATTATGAATCTTCAAAGGTTCACCAATCGTGGTACTTCATAGGAAGGCATTCATATGTTTGGTTAATTTTGTCGATATGTCCGTGATAATTAACCAATCAAATTACATAATTTTTAAACCGTTTATCATTTTTAATACTACTAGAAGCGAAGAAAACTTCACTTAAAGAAGCTTACAAACTAATAATTACATACAAAAAATTTATCGCATAAAGTTAGAAAACAGTTAGATACGCGTATAGTTGTTAGACGAAACCTCGAGGTTTCGCGCTGACGAAAGTCGAAACCTAGTTTCGACTTTCGTCAACTAAAAT